CACACACACACACACACATATATATATATATATACGGACAAATTGATTGATAGATAGATGGGGCTGTATAAGACACACATACACATACAGATACACATACACATATCCAAACAAACACAATGATTGAGCGGCTAAAGAGCCTCCGCTTACAGGACAAGAGTGATGATTAAATCGACAAAAGTGGCACTTGCTGTACTTGGTTAGGCTCTCGAAATCTCGTCTGCTTGCGCATTGACATGCACCAGTCCTTCCGCAGCACTCAGTTCCAGGTTATAGTTTGTCAATCGCTCATCTACCGGTCCTCCCTGCCCAACCGGGCGGCCCCAGACCACCCAACATTAACGCCACACCCCACGAACCTCGTCTTCAGTGTCACTGCCGTTCAGGCTTCGGCCGAACGCCACCGACTGTGGCAGCGGTACAGGCAGAGTTGTTTGCTGTTCGCTGTTGGCAAGCGTCTATTTAGAAGAGTTGTGCGTGTGTGTGTGCGTGATCATGTACTTGTGCGCTTGTGATTGCACCAAAACATACAGCAGCAGCACGTGTCTCGACGATAGGCTTGCAGGTGTGCCAAATTTTCGGCCCATCCCCAGCCGGCATATTGGCAAGGGGGTTTGCACACACGCGAACGTGGTACCGACAGGTAGACACACACAAACGACTATGGATCGGAATATGATTTGTGTAGACCTCTTGTACCCGGACGACAGACCACATGGACAGTCCGAGACGGTACTGTCTGCGGCAGCGACGAAGAGGGGGGTGGATCGAGGAACTGAGAGGGAAAATCAGATCGCGTAGACACACGGTTTGAGGGAAGAAGAGACACGGGACAGGGCACGACCGTCGGGGAGCTCGGCGATGGCAGAGCACCGGCGGATTCCGGTGGGCGCACAAAAGGCCGCCCACATATACACACACACACACACACCCACATTCTCGGGACTTGGGTATGTGGTGGGATTCCAACCACAGTTTACAAACAAACCGGTCACCAGACCTTCTGCGGACGGGTCTCGTGGTGAGGAAGAGTTGCGGTGCGAAATCGGGTTGTGCGTCGGCCGGAGGTGTCTGACCGGACAAACATGGAAATCCAACTGTCTCTGAATTCGGCTTAACTGTAGCAGTTGCATCACCATAATTTAACTGTGCCCTGGCAACCCCCTTTTTTAGCCCGACTTCAGCCAACCAAGTGTCCTGTTGCCAGCCTGTACCAACCAGCCTCTACTCAATTCAACAATGCGAGACATGAGCCAGCCCGTTTCACCATAAACACACGCACACTGGAGCGGACAACTTCACTCGAAAGCTTACTCGCACTTGAATCAACCGAATGTAATGTTCCTCCGATGGTACTCCTACCATCCCACTGCCTCCCAGATGCGGGTCTGATTTCAAAACCTTTCCAGCAGTTTTAGAAACACCCACTTTGCCGAGACCTGATGATCTTAACTGGCCACTTGAAAAACGCTTTCGCTCCTCTCTGTCAAGTAGACGAGTCCACTTCCATTTGCATGTGAAACTGGCCCATCTGAGCCGAAGACGAGAGAGGGGTTTAAAGAGATGGATCCGAAACTTATGAGGATATACTAAACTCCCTGGTGCTATATGAAGCATGATTTTGGCCGAATAATCTTTGAAAGCACAACAACAAAAC